TGAAGTTATACGAAACATAAAAACAACATAATGGAATGAAACACTGCTTTCAGTTCTTATAAATGAAGACAACCCTTAGAGTGTAAAGGGAATTCTCATCGTTCCATTAAGAGTATTTCCCACCGTTAAAACACAAAAGTTAGATGAACAACTAAATGAACTTCAATTAGATCAAGTGACCATAATGTTCTTAGTAAAGTTTCATTCGAAACATAAGAAGTCCTATTAAATTCACCCTCAGTAATTCATTTCAATTTATTATTAGCAATAATGTACAGAATAAGTTAAACTTCTAACTAGTTTCAAATATTATTAATAATTCTCAATCGTTTCAACCTTAATAAATGAAAACTGGCTGAAAATAATCAAAATTAGAAACAATCGAAATGTTCCTGTCATCCAATTTCTTTACAAAAAAATGTTCCAAAAATTCTTGCACATTCTACAGAATAATATAATGTGAATAATAAAATTCTATGATATTTCAGGTGAAATTGAACCCAGGTGCTCCACTGCAGATCGTCAAAGGAGGAGTCACCCTTCGACACCCAGCACTAGCTCCTCAACAACCACTCCCTCAGCCACTTCCACCTATTAACCCTGACGCCATACCATCTGCATTTCCCTTGCGGACTACACAATTATTTGGTAACCTACAACCTAGCCTGCCCTCGCCGAACGGAATAACAGGCGCAGAAATGAATTTCGCGGATGGCCCGTATCGCGCTCTTTATAAACGAGAGGAAGAAGCGTTCACTATTGGAGACTCGAGCGAGAAATCCGAGGATTTAAGTTTCGACAGCATCGTTGAAGAACGAATGAAGAAGAAGAGAGAGGTAGACGAAACCTCTAAGGAAGAACATATCGATGACAAGGTAGGGGAATTTGGTTTTCGGTAATTAATCCCTTGCCCTATGATTTGTTTCTTAGGTATGATCAATACAATTACTTTGTCGTCAATAATTTATTGAGAGAAAGATAAATATTCTAGGCATGTATGCCCATGTCTACTTTAAAGTACAGTAATTGATGTCAGAAGAGTAATATTTCATTTGAATTCAAAAGAATTGAGTAATATTTATGCTTATTAAATTCTGCTCAGAATCTTTATACTTTTTTATAAGGCAAGGGGCTAATATTGAAGTATTAGGATTGAAAGGGGATTTTTTGTGCACTTGTTATAAATACTAGTGAAAAAAATTAATTAGTATGAGAATTAGGTATAGATTTAGATGATACTTTTTTTCAACCCTTTGCTTTATGATTTTTTCATAAGACTTGTTGCAAATATTTTATTTTCAATACTTTTCTAAAAGAAAATGTCTACGTTTGATACGAATTTATATGATTAGTTAGAAAATTCAGTATTTAAGAATAACAAAAATTAATGAATATTATATTATCCTAGGTAACGTTCGTGGCGCCAGATGAATCCGAAGACAAGAAACTAGAGAAACGAGACTCTGAAAAGAAGAAAAGAGGAATAGTGCAGTTAGGGGATGGCTTGATCATAGATGATGGCTACCTACATCAAGGACTGGACAACGAATACTTCTCCGGATTGACAAACTTTGGTTTACAATTGCCAAAGTATGAGAACAAGGATGACGAAAGAGAACCAGCAGAAGGTGAAGTGAGGAGAGTGATGAACATCTGCGATGGATGCTCCGAGGAACCGTTCAGGAAAGCATTGATCATGGCCTGGAGGTCTGTTCCTAAGAAACTCTACTCGGGTGCCGTGCATGTTCCAGCTGCGTCAACTTGCAAAGCATTCTAAATTAATTGATTTGAGATGTCTGGACCTGGCGCAGGAATCTTTTGAGTGAAAAGTGATGGGAAATGCTGTGAACAAACTTCTAGGACACCAGAGTACAGTACTTAGTCAAAGATTACTGATCAAAGCGTCCTTCGAACAGAGAACTATAGAGGTTCAAATCCTAGAATTTATTTAGAGTAATTTTTTGTCTGTAACTTCATTCAAAAATTTCTGATTTAGTGAAAGTGGTAATCACTCCCTGAGAGAGTTATTGAGTGAGAGAGCAGGCTTGCCAGTTTGTTATCCAGTTAAGAATTGGACAGAGTTAATCTAAGATCAAGCTTCAGCTGCGTCGACTCTTGATGATGTTAGACAAGTATTAGTCGATTTTGTTAATCTCTAGTTTACTGGGTAGACCGATTATTTGTAATGATTTCGTTTAGAGTGCTAACTTCTAAGGAACCGTACTGATTAACAAACTTGAAATTATTTGAACTGACTCTAGTGGTTACAAGTTGTTTCATAAGCAATTTTTACTTTTGTTACTTTACTATTATTTATATTAATCATAAAGAACCATAAATATATGAGAACAATGAAATATCAAAAGAAATTTCAAGGAAATCAAAGAATAGGCATAGAAAACAGAATTATAAACAAACTCTTGTATAGAAATGTCCTCACTCTATTAATTTATCGACTAACAGTTAATCAATTATCAAGCGAAGACGTAACTTTAGAGACCCTAGAAACTATTTATTATAGCAATAAGTCTCGAGCCGTAATTGTTAATGAATAATTCGTTTAAGCAACAGTATTACGTGTTTATCGACGATGTACCAATAAAAATTCTTCTCCCTCTTTTTATTAATAAAAAAAGACGAAGGAAACAATTCATTGTGTACTCACCTTGCTCTTGTGAATGTGCTGATGTTGGTATTCGCTGTCGAACTCCGGCTCGCTGAAGTAGCTTTGATCCTCCCAGTGTGGTGGCAGCCCTGATCCGCCGCTGGGTATTCCCAGCGGGCCCGGCATCCCTGTCACGCCGTCAGTGCTCTCGAACAGTCTCAACACACTACGGTCCCGTATGTCTCGCAGATGAGATCTGAAATTGAAACGGACCACGGGGATTGGTAACAAAGACGTCGCTGGAACTTCAACGCTTATCGGGGGACCTCTACGGACCTCCCCGGATTAGTGTTCGAGAACTCTAATACGGGGAATATTGAATTTTCTTTTAAAGGTTAAACGAATGCTTTAGCTTTTCTTCTGTCCCTTTTTGTTCTTCACGTTGGAGTAAACAGTGAAGAGTTTTCATTCCCCGGATTAGTGCAGAACAACTCTAATACGGGGAATATTGAATTTTTCTTTAAAGGTTAAACAAATACTTTAAGCTTTCTTCTATCTGCTTTTGTTTCCCATGTTGGAGTGCTTAACACGTTCAGTGCCACGTGTACTATTTATAAAATATATAAAACTGGCTAAACACTTGAATATAAGATAATATTTTATTTAAAAAATCAATACAGTTCATAAGCAAAATATAATCGAAATTTGCACAGCACAGAACGCGTTAAATAGTGATAAGAGAGTTTTCATTTCCCCGGATTAGTGTACAAGAACTCCAATACTGAAAATATTGAGTTTTCTTTTAGGGATTAAATGGATACTATTATTCTTTTATTTCTGTTTTCTTCTTCTGTTATTTCTTACTCTCTCTTATTATTGCAATAAAAATGATTAAATCGAGGCTTCAACTGAAACTGCCGATGTCATAAAATTTAAATATTCAAACATAACAATACTGCATTGTTTGATATTTTTTCAACCCAATTATACTTTCACTCCTTAGCATAGTTTATTTAAACCCCCCTTTAGTTACCTACATATTATTCTATCTTTTCTTAGGACCTTATCAGAGATCAGCAAATCTGATCAGGATGAATCGACAATACCAAAATAACCGCAGCATTCAGCTTACCTAAGGTCCTCGAGCTCGTAGAACATGTCCTTGTTGCTGTCGTGTATGTAAACCTTGACATGAGGACTGTCTAGATATTCCATGGTGAGTTGCTTCGGAAAGCTCCTGACAAAAAGTGCCTTCACCGTGTCTATGCTCGTGATTTCGTTCGGCAGTAGCGCCCGCTTCGTCTCGTTCCTATACTGCAGGAACACTAGACCTAAGGAACCGTCCACAGAAACGCATCGTGTGGTCAGGTATGTCCAACAAGGTGACCGTGCAGCGAGGCAGCAACAAGACGACCCTAATTCTATCGTGGATGATGGTGTGTTGTTACCTAATGGTCGCTCCAGAGTTTTGCTGGGGGTCCGTACGACGGGGAGGCTGCTTCTCTGTTTGCCGCCCCGTCTAAATCCGGTGCTTGATGTCTCCACCTCGGACATGATGCCCGGGTCGTCATCGAACAACATCGTCGAATTGGGAGGCGGGAAACCGCGCGGAAGAGGCGACTGAAATCGACAAAGTTCAACAATCAATCCTTTGGTTCTCCAACTTTTCATTGTTCGAAATCAGGTGGAAAGTTTGCACTCGAAACTCGAAAACTTTTCAAATGCCCCTCGTTGAACACTTGACCTATGATTTCTGGCATGATTCTGTTAGAGCTACTGTATCGTTAATCATTTATTTGATCGATAATATTAGTCTATTACTAAGACTGATTATTATTTCAAATAATCAAATATGATTTTTCTATCTGATTTATAATCGAACTTCTAATGAGACAAAGTTATTATTGAAAATAGCATCTGACAAAAGTTCAAGCGAATACAATAAACTCCCATTAATTAACTCGTGTTCAAACCTTGCATCATGAATAGAAACAACAATAAAATAAATCATAAACGGTCGAAAATTTCCTTATTCCCTGAAAAGTCCCTCGTAACACAACGAATTTCTCCAGATTTCAATGAAACCAGCAAGCCAACGTGTTCGCGTAACCACATCACCACGTGCAAACCTTCCAACCTCGATCCCGAAACTTCGAATCACAGGAGTGCCTCTCTACAAGCACACGAGACGGGTCCACCGCGGTACACTTACAGAGACAGTGGACTGAAACTGAGAAAGCCATACAAAAATCTACACCTCGATACCTCGCCAATCGGCACCGATCGCTATATAAAAAAAACCATTCATGGACAAGTATCGAGGCACCCCAGCAGAAGGTGAGAAAATAACAGCCACATCGAGACAGAGTGTCATGCACCGGACACACGTCGGACACATAGACCGCAGGGAACGAGACGGACGAGAAATAAAGGTACTTTACCTTTCTCTGGCGAGACTTGGTCCCCATCTGTATCGCAGTCGGCAGGGTACACGGAAACACACACACAAGTAAAACCAGTTAGATATGAATATATGTGGGTGGCGAGTGTAGTAGTTATGCGTGGAGCAGAGAAAATAGAAGGGGGCTGTGTTTTTTTTTCGCCGCGCCGTTGCGTCGCGTTGCGTCGATTTCGGGACGTTTAAGCGAGCAGATCGAGTAGATCCCTTCGCGTCGTCACCGCTGCTCTCGTTAATCCTTGGCTCGGCGACCGAGCGGCTGGGCCCGAGGATAGTCCTGCAAAGAATCTAGCGGCGACCGCTGGCCCTCGATCCGGCTTATAGACGAAGATACGTCGGCCGAGATAAATCGTGGCCGACGAGGCTGGCGGTCGCGTTTTATCGGCGAGCCGGTACAGGCGTGGCCTGATGCACACGCTGGTTAGGCGGCACACGCTCGCGGACGGGGCGGGGTAGGAGAGACGAGCAGAATCAGTAAAAAACATCGCCGGGACACTGCGAGCAGGAGGGCGTGTTCTGGTGCACGTTAAGGCGTCGGGTTGTCGCACACGAAACGTTGGACTGTATACCTTGAGGCACGTGACGGTGGAACTGTCTTCTGAGTTGCTTCGGTCATTTTTGGGTACCAATGGCTTTTGACATTTAACCCTTCGCACTCGAGAGGCACCTGTTTGTCGCCGTTTCATTTGATTGGAGGAAATTATAAAATTTTTAACTCAATATTAAATTTTATGTAATGTGTGGAGCGAAATGAAATAGTTGTGTTAGTTAACCCTTAAAATGCTAAGTGGGGTCCTATAAGGAGAATAATTTTGTAATTAATTTTTTGTAATTTTTCATATTTTATGTGTTTTCTCCTTTTTCGTCGTCAAGTATTGTGGATGATTTGTCTATTCTAAAAACATTACCGTTAGTTTGCTTTTAGCTATAAACATATTGGGGTCTCCAGGAGAGATGTTTATAGCTAAAAACAAACTAATGGTAATGTTTTTAAAATAGACATGTCGTCCACAATACTTGACGAAAAAAGAGAAAATACATAAAATATGAAAAATTACAAAAAATTACTTACAAAATTATTAAGGAAAAATACTTTCTGGTCTCCCTATAGGACCCCACTCAGCATTTTAAGGGTTAACATGTTGAATGTTATGGGGGTCACCGGTGACCTCCGGCAAAATTCAATTGCTGCAATCTTCTCAATCAAACAATGATTATTTGAAAACATTTCTACATTGTAAATAATGCTACCTAATGCGGTGACATTCAGTAAAACAAACCTGCGATAATAACAACGCAATTCAATGAAATAATTTAATATCGTATCTTTTTCATCTCGCATATTCTACACGTTAAAATCGTGCGGTATTCAACGTGTTAATTTATGTAAGATATTTCTTTATTTTAGTTATAAAGAATACTGTTGATGTTTCATTATAAAATAATGAATATTTGTTGGGGAAAATATTCTCGAGTGCAAAGGGTTAAGTAGAAATTAGTAAACGAATTGTTGAAACGTTGGAATTTTGTGGATGACATTTTCGAATTTTAGATTTGATGGTTAGTGATGTTTACATTTTTTGGTTTGAAATTTAGTGTGTGTTGAGAGAATTGGATATTGATTATTGGTGATCGTGGAATTTTGAATATTGACGGTTAGTTGTCAATCATTTTGAAGCTTTGATTATTAAATTTGATTGCTAGTATTTTTGAAGTTTTTAATAAATTTATAATTATTACTATCGTTATAAATTAGTGAGCAGTAATTTTGAAAGTTTTAATATTGAAACTTGGTTGTCAATCATTTTGAAATCGATTAAAATTTGGTCACTGGTACTTTCGAAATTTCGAATACTAAAATTTAATTATCAGTAATCCTAAAATTTCGAATATTAAAATTCACTACTAACTTTAAAATATTTAATATTAAAATTCGATCACTCATTCATCTATTCCAATCCTCAACCTCCAGTTTCCTCAATTAATTTCTTTCAAAACCTTCTGAAAAATTTCTTTCAAAGCCTTTTTGAAAATTTTCTTCAAAACACTTTATACAAAATTTTGTTAAAACCGTTGTAAACCCATCGGTTTCCTTTTCGTTTTAAATCACTTGATCGATACATTGATCACATTTGATGTGCAACAACGTTGTAAAATACAGTGACGAAGAAAAAAGGAAGATAAGGAACCCAGGGGCTGTCGATGGTCACTCTTCACGCGAAGAGAATCCAGGTGTCGACGGTTGACGCAACGAACCCCGCCCATCGATGTAAACACTCCGTTTCCCCACTCACCCGTACCACCTTTTCGAAACTGCCAGATAACGAGCTATCTCGCGAGATCTCCGAAATAGTTCGACCGTTAGCAAATATTTGCCAGTGCTCCGAGAGTGAAATATGTACCGTGCCCGGACACTGTTTGCACAGAATTATTTCGGAACGATCATTCAAATAATATATTAACCTACTTTGCACAAAATCATTTTTGTAGGTAGCAACAGCTAAAGAGATGAATTACTATATTTGATTCTAGGTTACCCTCTTTACGAATAATATTGTAACAAGTGATTCATGTAACATTTTATTAATGACTCCAATAAATTGCACCATACAGTACAAGGTACTAATTAAATATTAATTAGAGTTTTGAATATGTTTATAACGGGTTGTCGGTTAATTAGATACTGGACGATGCTAATTATACTTTAATCACACTCAAATCCTGGTATCAAGTACTAACTATATTCTAATTCAAATCCTAAGAAAATCCTAATTACTTTATTGAGGTCCTGAATAACGTACAAACTGTATTTTATTCAAATCACGATTATATTTTGAACAGAACCTAATTATGCTATACAAGAAGTGCAAGCAGGTGGTAATTTAATTTGATTTAAGTTGAGAGTGGATTTTAATTACCTTGTTTGTGTCCTAAAGTAGGCGTTAATCATGCTTCATTAGCTCTTTATTATATGATACTCATGTCCTGACCAAGTCATAGTCGTGTTTTAATTAAATCCTGGCCAGGACTTAATTATTCTTCATTCAGGTCTTACTAAGGTCCTAATTAGGTCCTAATTGTGTCGTAAATAGGTTCAAAGTGCTTCAGAAAGTGTTTAAATCAGGTATTTATCATGCTTCATACCGATTTTTTATTTATATCCTGGTCAAGTCGTAGTTATGTGTTTAAATCCTGGCCAGGTCCTAATTACACTTTATTTAGGTCATTGTCAGGTCCTAATTACTACTTACTTGGATTAGGGATAGGTTCTAATTTCCTTATTTAAATACAAAATCAATCTTTAATCATAATCTATTTCACTGCTAATTAGGTTAGTCAAGTCTCTATCAGATCCTAATTAGGTCTCTTTTCAGTTAGCAATAAGTTCTAATCATCATATTCAGGTTCTGAATCAGACACTAACCATGGTTACTTCAGTTCTTATTTCCTCTGATCTCAACCTCTATCAGATGCTAATTAGGTCTCCTTCGAACTGCCAATAGATTCTAATTATCCTTATCTCAGGTTTCTACTAGTCCCTAATTAAATCTTATTCACCTCACAAATATATTCTACTAATTTCTCCCAAATTCTAATTATACTTCACCAAAACTTCAAATCTACCAACACAAGGCTTCTAATAAATTCTTAATTCTACTTCATCAAAACCTCAAATCTACCAACACAAGGCTCCTAATAAATTCCTAATTATATTTCAGCAAAACCTCAAATCTGCCAAAATTCAGTGCCTAATAAAGTCTTAATTCTCAACACCCAACCAACCCCTAATTCGTTCCACCTAAATCCCAAATACTAACACGAAGTCCAAATCAGGTTCTAATTATCCTCTCCCCTTCCAATTTCAAGCAACTCTGAATCGCGTCTGGCCCAGGTTCTAACAAGCACCTAAACTCATCTCTGACCACAGGATTCTTTCGTTACACGCCAACAGCGACGTAATAACGTATAAGGTGGATCAGGTACTCGCGGCAGAAGAAAGGAAGCTCGAGTAGGCGAACGGACTCGCGAACAGGCCAGTGTAGGTGGACACGCGGCTTAATTAACCTCTTCCCTCCGTAACGACCGGTTCTTGACCTCGGAACACGTCCGTTAAAGCTGTTCGCCGACGCCGACACGCCGGATGCTAAGATCACCGCACGCGATCCGCTAATTTGTATTAACGTCGCGAGCCAGTTCCCTTGGCCAACGCGGCCCGAGACCCGGTAACGAGATTTACGGTCGGTTTTCCACTTTTTACCGATTCCCCGCTCCCGCTGGATAAGGAAGAGCATCTTCTCTCAGGGATTCCCACGGGCAGCGGGATTCCATTTGCCGTGGAACAACCATTTTCCAGCCCCTGCGGTTCCGTGAACGGGGGGACAAGATAAAGGGGAAGTGAGATAAAACGACCTGGAAGAAGGCGCGCTTCGTCTCGATGATTCTGGGTCACGTTAAAATAGACGTTGCGGTTTACCTGCACAGTTACCCGTGGCGAACGAGTTACAGCTGAACCCGATGTAATTTATAATCGACCGAGAATCGTATTACCTCGGAATTATTGATAACGGAAGTTGCGTGATGCTGGTGCTCGTTGTTTCAGAATTAGATTTCACTCGTTACGCCTGTCTTTCGAACTGCTGTGGCGTTGTATGAATTCAAATTTCGCGCCTAATTACTTTGCACGATTTAGAATTGAATTATTGTCGATCGAGAAATAGAGCGTTCGTTTAGTGTAAATGTAATGTTATTTAGATGATGAACTTTTTCATAAACTCAGTGTCTGGGTTTTGGTATTTCGTTCGACTAGCGCGGTCGCTATTCGAATTCGAATTTCCCGCCAGACACGTCGAGCGATGAAATTAATGCAATTACGATACTCTCATCGGGAGTTTCCATAAATCTGACGATTTCCAAGGAACTAGTCCCATTCTCAAATCAATACCGACGTTAAACCGCGAAAGTTCACGCATTTACCAAACCTAACCTACAAAAGCCGCCAAACTACCAACATTAATCAGATTTACCGCCACATAAATACAAAACGACCGCGACGCCCCTATTACCGGCGCAGGACCGTGCCAACCCCGTTCCCCCATCCCCCCACCCTCGCCCCTCTTGCGAGTCACCCGCAATTTACTCCCAAACACAACCTCAAACATATTTACAGCCGACCATAACCTAAATCAAACAAAACACCGTCGTGTATTCATCGAGCCTGGCTCAGCCAAA